ATGGCAGAAAAAACAAGGAAGATAAAAAAAAAAAAAAAAGCAAAGGCACTAAGTTACAAAAGGCAGTGGTGACCAAAAAGGCAGAGGGCAACCACCAAAACTGCTACGGCTGACAGTCCCTGCAAGAGGTCCTATAGCACGCAGCAGGAGAGAAACGGCTGTCCAGGGAGATCCCTTTAAGCACGTGTCTGAAAGGAGCTCCAGCCCCCGCCCCTGGAAAGGGCTGGTGCCCTTTTTCCCTCTTCAAAATGGTTCCAGGCTTCTGCTTTTGCGCAAAAGCGTCCCGCCAATGTAGATGTGCTTTTTCCGCAAAAGTGCATCATTATAACGATAACTCCGGGACCAATCTAGATGCACTTTTGCAGAAATACTTTTAACGGAAAAACTTTTCCGTTAAAAGCATTTGTGGAAAATCATGGAGCAGGTTAGATAGACGGCTATCAGGGATGATCTAAAGCGTGCTTGGTCCTACTGTAAGTGCAGGGGACTGGAACTGACGATCTCTTGAGTTCCCTTTCAGGTCTACTGTTTTATGATTCTATAATTCAAGAAAGAAGTCCTCCTAAATGGTAAGAACTAGGATCACCAAACTTGGTATGAAGATACCTCTTTTCATAACTTAAAGCAACATAAGGGTTTGGCTGTGCCAGGAAAACAGGATGTGCTGGAATGGGTTGCTTCTCATAAAGCCAAACAAGAGACAGAATCTCCAAATCAAAGAGGCTGCATTGAGACTACAGGCTTCTTTCACAAGAAGCTTTTTTCAGAAGAGATCTTCCAAATAAACGTCTTTCAAAAGGGAGCATCCACACTGCAAAAGTGCATCAAAAAATTATCTGCTTTTTCGAAAGAAAGTGTCCAGACTGAATGGACAATCTCTCACGTGTAAGCTATGATTGCTATGGACAGAATGGCCACCAGGGCACCTGTGCTTTTTCCTCTTTCCTCTTCTTCTAAAAGAACTCTCTCTTCCCCGTTCACACACGCCTTTTTGCGATAGAGATCTTTCGCAAAAAGGCTTTTTTCTCATAGAATGAGGATTTCCAGTGCCAAAAAACCCCCCTCAATTTTTTTGATTTTCTTGCGGAAGAATGCAATTGCAGTGTGGACATTCCTCAAGTTTTGTCATAAAAATGGCCGACAAAACTCTGTAGTGTAGACATACCCTGACAGTCCTCAAAACTCACATAACTGAGCAAATGTAGAAAGAAACTGAACTAAGATAACCCAGAAAAATTGGATGTTCCTGGAATAGGACTGCTTCTCAATAAATCCTACAGAAAAGAGATGAAAATGTTGACATTTGGAGTAGTGCTCTGTTTTGGTACAGCTAAGGTTTGAAAACTAGAAGCAAACATTATTGGAAACCACATTGACTATAGCTCTTTTTTGTTAAAACATAGTGAATCATAACAGTATATAGAAATGAAGAAAAACAATATACTTGATAGAATTCTCACTTAAAAATTTACTAACAAAATGGAAAAGTTTTAACAATCTCTTTTTAAAGAAATCAAAAATAAAAATTAACTTCATTATAATAACACTCTATTTTTGAAAAATACATTCATTTAAATAAAGCATGTACATTTTCCTTTTATTTAAAAACTCCCCACATAATTTACAGTGTCTGCTGTGTAAAACTATTTTGGCCTTTTTCCACTAGACTGCAGATTTACAGATAATTTTCAGTATATAACTACCAAATTCTGGAGAAGTGAATCACAGGAGCCACCTCTGGTTTCTTTTACTTTTGCAAAGGAATCTTTGGCTATATTTAGACTGCACCCTTAAACTGGAAAAAGATACGCAATTTGCACTACGCAAATTGCATGACTTTTTTCTATTTAATTTTGAAAGAGGCTTTTTTTGAAATTTGGTGCATCTACACGCCACCAAATTTCAGAAAAAAGTGCTCTTTCGAGCCGTCCCTTATTCCTTGTAGAATGAGGTTTACAGG